CACCCCCTTTCCATTTTCCATATCCCAAGTTCGGACTCCGTGTGCAAGGCTGGACAGCTGTTTCTCCCCCCCCAGGAAAGAGGACGGCGAAAGCCCTGCAGGTATCCGGCAGTGCATTTTTACATTTATTTATTTATTCCCCCCTCCTTTTTTTAAAAAAAAAAATAATAATTCTCTTTTTCCTGTGATTTTTTTTTCCTCTCCAGCTTCCAGCCTGGATTTGCATGAAATGTTTCCCTGGGTTTGTCTCTTTTGCAAAGGGGAGGGAAGCAGGAGGGCAGAGCCCATGGGCCGGGTTTGAGGACCTGCCTTCATCAGCATCCTCCTCCTCCTCCTCCCTGGGAGGCCCATGCACTGCTCCTGCTTCCAGGTGCTGGCAGCCGCCTTAGCACTGGTGGCTGGCCTGCAGCTGCTCTACTTGGGCCTCCTTTCCGGACTGCACGGGCAGGATCAACGCTCCCACTATGCCGGGCTTTTCCGGGGCCACGGCCGGCCCTTGCCCTGGGACGGGCACAAGGAGAGGTTCGAGCGAGTGCTGGCCGGCGGAGGCGCCTTGGATGCCAGCGGGCAGTACCGCATCTACCAGGACGTCCTGCAGGCCACCTGGGGCGGCCGAAGCCGCCAGGACGTGGTGCTGGTCACCCACACCAGCCTGGGCAACTTGCACCACGCTCAGCAGCTGGCTGAACGCTGGCAGGGCCCCATCTCCGTGGCACTCTTCGCGCCGGGCCCGGCCGACGTCCGCTTGGCCACGGTGATGGTCTACGCCCTGGCCGCCCTCTGCCCGCCGGTCCGCCAGCTCTTTCGCCTCCACTTGGTATGCCCAGCGGAGCAGGTGGCGACGTTCCCGGAGTCGGAGGATCACCCGGAGTTGGGCCGGCTCAAATCCTGCAGCGACGTCTACGTCCGACTGGCACGGGTCGGGGCCGGGCGCCGGAATTACGCCATGGACGTCGCCAACGCCTCCTATCCCAACAACCTGCTCCGCAACGTCGCTCGGAGGGCGGTGGGTGGGCATTGGGTGCTGGTGGTGGACATGGACATGGTGCCCAGCGAGGGTCTGCGGGAGGCCTTCCTGGCGCTGCCCAGAGCCCCCAACGAGGGGACCCCCGGCGTCTACGTGGTGCCGGCTTTTGAAATCCGCCACACTCGCCGCATCCCCGGGAGCAAGACAGAGCTGCTGCAGCTGTACCAAGTGGGCGAGATCCGGCCGTTCTACGAGGAGCTCTGCTGGCGATGCCAGGCCCCCACCAACTACTCCCACTGGCTCAACCTGCCCGTCGGCAGGCCCCTCCGCGTGGCCTACGAGGTGGAGTGGCGGGACCCCTGGGAGCCTTTCTACATTGGTGCTAGTTCGGTTCCCCCCTACGACGAACGTTTCAAGCAGTACGGCTTCAACCGCATCAGCCAGGTAGGTGTGCGGGGCAAGGGCTGGCCCCCGAGGTCAGTGGGGTAAAGCGAAATCCTTAATTTGAGCCCACCTCTTTCCTGGCTCTCTCTGACGGATCCTGGTGGTCTCTTACTAAAAAGGCCCCGCCGTGCGTGGCTTCCAAAATCAGAGGAGACTGTTGTTTTCGGGGTGGTAAAGTGCTCAGCTCGTTCACTTTGCTTTTTTTTTTTCCTGGCTAGGCCTGCGAGCTCCACGTGGCCGGATACCGTTTCTCGGTGCTGAGCAATGCCTTCCTGGTGCACAAGGGCTTCAAGGTGGCAAGCGAATTCCACGCACAAAAGGATGCCGAGAACCAGCGCAACAAGGTGCTCTTTCGACAGTTCAAGCAGGAGCTGAAAGCCAAATACCCCACCTCGCCCCGTCGGTGCTGATTTCGCACCTGCACCTAATGGGAGAAGAGCCCCATGCCTCTTTCAGAGGGCAGGAAAACGTGAGTGTTGCGACCTGCTTTGAGAGAGAGGACCAGCTCAGGAGAAGGACCACTCCGATGCTTGTCGGAGTGCGTGGAAGAAAACAGAGTGGCTTGTCTACCCCAAATAGACCTGCGGTTGGCAAAAAGTTGGGTGCATCATTTTGAGATGGTCACAGTCAACTTTTGACTGTTTTATTCATTTATTGGCACCTATGTTTACATCTGTTTAGAGACCCGCTGACATTTTTATGGTCGCTGTGTACGGATTAGTTACCCCAACCTAACATCTCGAGGAGTCGTTTGGAGAGACAATTGTCTCACACTAGGAGTGAACAACGTCTCTCTCTTCAGAGGTTGGCGGAATCCAACTCACTCCTTACTGTTGGCGGGGTAGAGATTCTGGCGTCTAGAAAGCCACAAGGTGCCCAAAGAAATCCATCAAATTACCATATCTGGGTATTTTTATATATTGCTTTCGAGGGCGTGGGGAAAGAAAGGGGATTTTATCTGAGAATATAAATCCTTGCTAAGAACCCTGAGCATCTGTTAGACCTTACTTTGTAAAGAAGCTTTCTATCCCACCCGTTCCCCATGGTGCTTACAAACACTCAGTGTACCCCCCTCTCCATCAAATCTCTCATTGACTGAAATTCTGTGTGAGAATCCTGTGGAATCAAGTGCGAAGTTGTATGATGATTAATTAAGAGACACGGGGAGAGAAAGTGGACCTTGGGGATGGCCCAGACCAGTGAGGTCTGATTATCTGTGTGTGTGTGTGGGGGGGGGGAACAGAGTAACAATGGCATGATTTTTGTGTTCTGCCTCAGATGCTTTTCCCGAAATGGGTAGCTTTGATTTCTTTTCCCAGATAGTGGGATGTTTAGGTACCTCCTGGGACAGGAGAGTGGCGCTTAATTTATTTCCTTACCTGGAAATTGCAGTCTGCAAATGAATTAAACTAAACCACTTAGTTTAAAAATGCTTTTTTTTTTTGCTCTGTTGCGCCGACTGATTGAAGCCCCTCTCCCCCTCCCATCCAAAATGATAACATAAAATATACAAAAGCTGGACATTTTAAAGGTTTTTATCTTTGCCTGGCAGACAGAGGATATTTGGCTAAAAAGGAGGACCTGTTCCTCCTTTTGCCGGACGTCTGGCCACCCTAGTGATGTGGACATCAAGCGGTTTAATGGCAGCAGCCTTAAAGAGCAGGGCTTCACGACCTGTCCTCCCTGCATGCCGTGATGTGGAATACAGCAGTGCCTCGCTTTACGATTGCCCCACATTATGACAAATCCGCTTAACGATGATCTTTTTGTGATCACAATTGTGATTGCAAAATGATGGTCTAAATGGGGGAATTTTGCTTTGCGATGATCGGTTCCCTGCATCGGGAACCGATTCTTCGCAAAACGATGATTTTTCAACAGCTGATCGGTGGTTTTAAAATGGCTCCCCGCTGTTTTCTGGGATGGATTCCTCACAAGACAGGCAGTGAAAACAGCCACCATATGGAGGATCTTCACTGGACGGTGAGTTTTAAGCCCATTGGAACGCATTGAAAGGTTTTCAATGCGTTTCAATGGTCTTTTTATTTTCGCTTTACGATGTTTTCGCTTAACGGCGATTTTCCTGGAACGGATTATTGCCGTTAAGCGAGGCACCGCCGTATAATCATTCTGATGGAGAAGCCAGGAAAAGGACTCCAATGTACCTGTTGGGTCACAAAGCCTCATTTGGTATTTCACCACAAAGCCGTCGAACATATAGATAGCCCATATGGTGTGTGGGGGGGGTGAGCCATGAGGAGCGGGAAGCCAGTGTCCATGGCAATACTCGCTTTTTTTTTCAGCCTAATGGGATTTTCAACCTTCAAGAGGCTTTTAGTTTTTTAAGCTGTAGGTGTTCAAACATGTTTTGTGCCTGAATGCTTTATTTGTTTGTTTTTTTACTTTATTGTTACATAACTTTCAGAGTCTTCACACACAAAAAACAAATCCAAGCAGAGGCGATTCCTTTGTAGGCCACTGACATCATCATACCACACACAAGCTTTCGTGGAGGGTGTGATGATTGTTTTTAGTGCCCTATAAAAGGGTCGCCTCCTCTTGCATTTGCTACAGACCCCCAACGGCTCTTTTCATTTATTTCAGAAAACATTAAGTTTCTCTTCGCCCTGATTTTGGTTCCCATGGCACCGGTTTTTCCCCCCCTCCTCCCTTCCCATCGACACTTCCGGTTTCCCACAACGCCTTGCGAAAGGGAACAGCGAGCCGAGGAAGCGAAGCGAGGACCATAGAGACTAAGCGGCTTGCAAGACGCAGCCGCCTAAAAGCCGCTGCTGATTGGCTCACGAACGAGCTCGACTTCCGATTGCTGAAGACAGGCCCGAGCGCGGTTTGCGTCTTCCTCAGCCCCTCCCCCAGGTAATGAGGGGGTCCAGGCTCTTTCCCCAATGCCCCCCTTTTTATGGATCACGTTGGTTCCGCCCATTCCTATCTGATGCCTTTCCCCACTGCCCGGGCAAGAGAAAAGCGGTGGGCCAGCCCATTGCGGTAGGGGGTGGAGGGTGTAAGGCCGCTTTCTCTGTATTAAATCTACTCCCCCCCCGTTTAAGGGGTTCGATAGTCTGTTCCCCTATCACATTTGGAGGAAGAAACGGGTTAGTCCATTTTAATTCGGGGGTGGTGTGGCTTGTAATCCTAATTTATTTTTAAACGGGTGGGCAATTTATAACTCTCAGGATGGGGTGGGACGGCAGTTTATACGATGGGCGGTGGCTGATGGGACTTGTTGTCCCACCACATCCGGCGGGTCTCCAGTGGCTGGCACCCCTTGCTTTAAAAGATTTATACCCCACTTTGCCTCCCTCTGGGAACAGGCAGCGTCATAAATACAATTTTAATTAATTCCCAATAATTTAAAACACAAGCTCCCCCCCCGAATTATTCAAAGAGACATCAAACCCAGGAAGTGATTTAAAAAAAGAGAACAACGCCAAAAATATTGGTGATATTAAAAAAGAAAATCAAGCCCAGGACAGATTAAAATGGCTCATTAAAAAAATCCAGACTTAATTACCCAACTTGTAATGAAGGCCTTCGTTATCCTTTTTTTTGGGGGGGGGGAGTCATCCATAACAAATAGGCTGCATTAATTTTAGATATTGGTTGCTAAACAGCTGCTAAAAGCAACTCACCCCTCCCGATTTCTGAGATTTGGGGGGTGGGATGTGAAAAAGAAATCTTTTAAAATTTATTTTAATAGGTATGCAGACAGATGTGTGGGAGAAAGCAAGCTTTTTATCTGTTATAGAACCTAAATGATTCAAATGGACAGGTTCAGTTGTGTGTCTGTGTTTTGTTGGATTTTACCTTTAATTTTACCTTTTCTTGAATTTTACCTTTTGCCTGAAAAGGAGGAGTAAACCATTTTTTTTACAGTGTCTCAGAGAAGAAGGAAAATTCCAAACTCCAAAACAACAACAACAAAACTCTGCAGCTTGAACTCTGCAGCCTTGGCGGGGAGATATTCAACAGGTGCAGCTCACATTCCCAAAGCCAAGGAAAAGATACAGCTGTTGAATTTCTGCCTGCCCTTATACAGCGGCTAACATAGTACGGTAACTTAAACTAGAATCACAGAAAAGTGAAGTTGGAAGGGGACTAAAAGGCCATCAAGTCCATCCCCATGCTCAAGGCAGGAATACAATCAAAGCATGCATGTAAGCATGTTTACCTTGAAGTAAACTCTCCTGAGTTCAATGAGGTTTGCTTCCAAGTACATGCCTATAGGTTTCTGGCCTTAATTTAAATCACATGTGAGCCATGGTGTAAACAAAAGAAAACTAAATTATATATTGGGAATGTTTCTGGGAAGAAACATGTATGCAGCTTCATTTCAGCTATACAGTGGTGCCTCGCTTGACGAGGATAATTCGTTCCGTTGAAATCGCTGTTAAACAAAATCCTCGTCAAGCGAAATGAAAAAGCCCATTGAAATCCCTTCAATGCGTTCCAATGGGCTAAATACCTCAGCGTCCAGCAAAGATTGTCCATAGGGGCGGCCATTTTCGGTGCCTGTAAAGCAAAGAACCCATCCTAAATCACAGCGGGGAGCCATTTTAGAGCCGTCGATCAGCTGTTTTAAAATTGTCATCTAGCGAAATATCGGTTCCTGAAGCAGGGAACCGATCATCGTTAAGCGATTTTTCCCTATTAGAACATTGTTTTGCGATCGCAAAAACTTCATCGTCAAGCGGTTTCATCGTTTAACGAGGTAATCGTTAAGCACGGCACCACTGTATATATTTTTTAATTACAGGGAGGACTGTAAATTTTGAAAAGTTTGCTTCACTCCTGTTCATGCTGGGTACTAGGTAAGGTTCAAGCTTTCCTTTACAGAGGGAAGGATTAGACACATCTGCTTAATTCAAGCAAAGTGTCTCAAAAATGACCAATTCCATTCTCTGCGTGCTTTATTTGGAGAATAGGTGCAGTGATCTACAATGGTTAACGATGGCCTTTTCGCCTCTTCCTATTTGGTCCTTCTTCTCTGTTCTCAGCTGGAAAACAGCGCAATGCCTGTCCAGCCTCTGCCAAAAGAGATGGAGGCGGAAGGAGACTCTACGGCAGAGATGAACGGCGAAGAAGAGAGCGAGGACGAACACAGTGGCAGCCAGTCTGAATCTGAAGAGGAGAGTTCAGGTAGCTGCCGTGAGCAGAAGGGCCCAGATCCCTTCTTTGGGAGCTACCTTTTCTGTGCAGAAGACCCCCATGCCCAATTCCCCTCCTCCAACCCCACCACCTGCAGTTAGAGCAGGCAGGCAGCAGACTGTCCAGATGTGTGACTGCAGCTGTTTCATCCCTTGCCAGCAAGCAAATGGCGAGGGAGGCGTTGTGCCTTTGACTTGATTTCTGTCCCATCTTTCTCCAAAATCATGGATGACAAAATAGCAGGGGGGTGGGGAGGATAGCAGGTACGTGCACTGAAATATCTGAACCGTCGCTAAGCATGCAGTCATATTAAAATAAAGTTACTGTATTTTTCCATGTATAAGACTATACTTTTGCCTAAAATCTTTAGACTAATAATTGAGGGTCGTCTTATACACGGAAGTAGGCTGAGGAGAGAATGAAAACAAGTGGACGGGAAAGCAGGGATCAAAGCGATCCTGCAGCGCTTTGATCCCTTTCCCCCCTACACTTGCTTAGCCCCACTTAGATTTCTTAATTTTGGATTAGAAAAGGGGAGATGTCTTATACACAGAAAAATACAGTAATCTGAAGACTCATGCATTTATAAAAATAAGGTTTAAAGAGGACAATTTGTTACAAAACGGCTGTCTTGTGCTACCAGATCCGTGGTCCAAAGCTTGCCCAAAGAGAAAGGTCTTTGTGTGCTGGCAGAAGGGAAAGAGTCACTCTGGCCTCCAGTGGAAAGGAGTTCCACAAGCCACTGGGGAAGTCCCGTCTCAAGTTGTCACCACATGCGCTGATTGAGGGGGCTGGGACTGAGTGCGAAAGGACCTGGCAGGAAGGGCTTCCCTCAAATTCGGGGCCTGCTCTCACAGCGGAGAAAAAGCATTTAGCACGTGTTGTCTGTTTTGTTTGCAGAGATGGACGAGGAGGACTGCGAGCGGCGCCGCATGGAGTGCCTGGATGAGATGCTGGACTTGGAAAAGCAATTCACTGAGCTGAAAGAGACGTGAGTTGCTACCTTCCTGTGTTTTTAAATTTTTTTTGCTTTGAACTTCATGGCCAAGGGAGGGATTTGAACCCGGGGCGTCCGGATTCTGTTCCAGGTTAATAACGGGAATTGGACCAAACTGGCGTGGCTGGCCTATGGCACAGCAACGTTCTGTTCACCTAGGCATCTAGTTCACCTCGTATATTCAATACACCTAATACGCCCCGTGTGATGTACAGTGGTGCCTCGCTTAACGACGTTAATTCATTCCAGCGAAATCGCTGTACAGCGAAATTAAAAAACCCATTGAAGGGAAATTAAAAAATCCATTGAAACGCATTATAACACTGTTAATGTATTCCAATGCAGCGTAATTAAAAACCTCATTGAAGGGAAATTTAAGCATTATAACACTGTTAATGTATTCCAATGGGCTAAAAACTCACCGTCCAGCAAATATCCTCCATATAGCGGCCATTTTTGGTGCCTATATAGTGAGGAATCCGTCCCTAAGCACAGCAGGGAGCCATTTTGAGCACCCGGCTGCCATTTTGAAAACCCGACGATCAGCTGTTTTGATCATAATGCGAAGAATCGGTTCCCAAAGCAGGGAACCGATCTTTGCAAAGTGAAAAAAAACACACATTTAGACCATCGTTTTGCTATCACAATTGCGATCGCAAAAACATCGTCGTGAAGCGGATTCGTCATAATGCGGCGTAATTGTTAAGTGGGGCACAACTGTATTGGATTATGGTGACATACTGGAATTCAGGAGATGTGAATTACGGTGACATACTGGAATTCAGGAGATGTGAGACTGAATCCCCTACTCTGCCATGGAAACTCAATTGCAGTGATGGTGAAATTTAGTCAAGCCACTCCTTAAAACCCCACTTACCTGGAAAGATCAATTAAGGTCTCTGTAAGTAATTTCTGACTTGACAACCTCCAGGATCAATGTTGTGACCAGTCCTGACTGAGCCCATAGGAGGTCGTAGGGGCTGGAAGCCGAAATAATAGCGGTGTGTCACTCTGCAGGCTTTTTAAGGAGCGCCTCAGCCAGGTGAAGGCGAAGCTGGAGGACGTGATGTCGGGAAAGGCGGCAGAATATCTCGACCCTCTGAGGGTCCTGCAGGATCGCATGCAGATTCGGATTGAAGTGGCCGGTAAGGGGGATCCTTTGGCAAGACGGGGGGGAGGTGGAGGCAGAGGAAGGAAGCTCGTAGGGCAATCTCTGCTCTAGAACACTTTTGGGAGAGGACTGTGGCTAATTTCTCAATTGTGGGTGTTTGAGTCCCTTCGGAAGGCCCGCCGGCTAATCCCAGATCTTAGCGCTGCCGAGCTGGAAGGGACCCAGTGGATCCTCGAATCCAGCAGCCCTTTGACAAGCAGGCACCTCTGGGGAAATCAAACCGCAAATCTCTGGCCAGATGCCTAAAGCGCTGAACTAGCTCAGATGTAACAGAATGGGGTTGAAGCAGAGCCTGGCCTACCTCGCAAGGCTCCTGAGAGGATAAAGGGGGGGCGGCGGAAGACAGCCAGGTGTGCCCATTGGACGAAAAGTGCCATGGCGGTAATAATTAATCCAAAAACCCAGATTGATGAGTTAGGCTTGCAACTCCCAGAATCCTCCAGCTTGCAGTACTAGAGCAACGCTCCAAAAACTAGAAATCTGTCCGGTTCTCCTCCGAGGCGCTCCACGCTATCCTGGGGCTTTGTTTTCTCGCCAGGAATCTACCGAGGTTTCTGCCTGGAAGTGATCCATCACAAACATGGCTGTGAAGTGCAAGGAGCGCAGCAACATTTGGAGGTGAGGCTCGCCTGTCCCCCCCCCAAACCTTCTTATCTGTCTGTTCCTTTGTTTCCTTCCCATCTTCTCCCTGCTGCTAAATCTTCTTTTTTTAAAAAAACAGGGCAACACTTTCAAAACCTTCTATTATGAATGAAGCCACAGGACTAGGTTCTACGTTTCTGGTGTGGCTCTCCTCTCCTAATTAGGAATCCCTGAGTCAGCTTCCAGCGCGCCTATTAAGCTTGCAAGTTTGAGCTTGGAGGAGCCCCCTGATCTAGTTTGTAAACAATAATTAGCAAGTAACAATGATGCTTTTCAGGAAGGGAAGCGAACCGTCCTTTCCTGCTGACCCTGCCTCTTTACATATTCCTCCAAGAATGTAGAAAAAAACACTGGCCTCTTAAGTCAGGGAGGAGGGGGGGAATACTTTAAAAGAAATGAACTTCATTTTGGTCTGCGCTTCTCAAAAAGATGTCCTTCGTTAGCATGCAGAAGAAGAAAGCTTTTTGGTTTCTCTGCGTCGTGATCTCCTAGAGCCGTCTTGTTTCAGCTTCTCTAGCAGAAGAGGAGACAGGCTTGGAGAATTTAGGAGCAGGGAACGCCCCGCCATGGAGCTCAGTGGCTGCCGTTGCCGGTTCCGTTCTCCCTCTCAGCTTAATTTTTGCAGGGTTGTTAGAAGATTAAAATGAACAATGAGGCACTAAAAGCACATGGCCTTCAGCTTCTTTGGCAGCAAAGGGAGAATAAAGATAGGTTTGTTAGTAAGGGTGATGTTCTTCTTTCCTCCCTGGCATGAGCTGAAACTTTTTTTTGCGAAACCAAGAACGGTATCAAAAGGACAGTCTCATAGCAGCGGTTCGGAGCAGAGCCTTAAATGAAGCAGCACCCACAATGTGGGATATTCTTGACAAACCTCTTATTGCGGGTTGTCTTGGTGTTGTTCAGCCTAGGTAAAGGTTCCCCTCGACGTTTAGTCCAGTCGTGTCCGACTCTAGGGGACGATGCTCATCCCCGTCTCCAAGTCGTAGAGCCAGCGTTTGTCCGTAGGCAATCTTCCGTGGTCACGTGGCCAGCGCGGCTAGATACGGAACGCCGTGACCTTCCCCCCGAGGTGGTACCTATTTATCTGCTCACATTTACATGCTTTCGAACTGCTAGGTTGGCAGGAGCTGGGACGAGCGACAGGGGCTCACTCCGTTGTGTGGATTTGATCTTACGACGGCTGGTCTTCTGACCCTGCGGCACAGAGGCTTCTGCGATTTAACCCGCACCACATCCCTGTTGTTCAGCCCACCAAGTATTCTTGCTGTAGAACGCCCCCCTGAAATAGATGTCAGTGGCTTATCAATTCTAATCAATAAACGTCTGGAAGCAAGTCCGGTCTTCCTGTAGGCAAAGCTGCGGGCGAATTTCGGAGGTCCCCTGCAGGCGTAGATGTTGTAGAAGTGCCGTTGGAGAGGAGGGAAGGAAGAGAAAATGCACAGCGCGTCTCGGCTGATGTGATTGCTCTGCTTTCTACCCAGAGTGAGAAGCTGATGCTCTTCGACACCCTCCAGGAGCGCTTATTGGAACGGATCCAGCGTTTGGAGGATGACCGGCACAGTGTCGGCCTCACGTCAGGTCAGTGAGGAAGGGCTTTGCCGGCTGCTACCTTTTTATTACGTGTGCCAGTCGTCTCCTCTCAAAGGGAAGGACGGTAGCCCTGGGGTGGGTGACTTGTTGGAGGCACAGGATGCTCAAGGTTTGATGAGAATCCTGATGGGCAGGATGAGAAAAGAGGCCTCTGTCTATTAACCCTGGAGAGCTGTCACCCATCCGTGTAAACCACGCGGATCAGGGTGGACTAAGAGACTCTGCCTGGTGGCAGAACAGGGAGAATCCACAGCTCAGTGGCAGAGCACATAACTTCATCTCCGTGTTCTTCCTTTGCCATCTCCTGTTGAATAAGATCAGGGACTTTGGGAATTGGAAGGAACCGTTCTTGGTTGAGGATGGTGGAGAGCAGGGACTAGTCAGCGCTGGAGAGAGGAACCCTCAGAGCGGCTGCCCTCAGCCCTCCGGGTTCAGCCCAGGGGAGGGGCAGGGGGACCCGGGCTTCTCAGGAGAGCCCCTGCTCCCAAGCAGAAGAGGTCACGGTGGGTCCAGTTTAAGGACAGACCAGGGCACGGAGTTCGTGGGAAAGACCTCTCCCTTACACCTGAAGCCTGTGTCAGCCAGAGGATGATGGGCTGGAAGGGAGTGGCAAGAGTTCTGTTTTCTATTCCTCCCTCAGAATGGTGGGACGACAAGCTCCAGCCGAAGCACAGCTCCAAGGATTGGGACCCTCTACGGCCCGGAAAGAGGAAGAAACCGCCGCTGGTGTCCGATATCCTTTTCTCGGCTCTCCCCTGAGAGGGTTTTGCCTTGGGAGAGGAAGACGGGTTAGGGTTCAGGGAGGGCGAAGCAGCGCCAGGCTGGGTCTGGAGGCCTTCGTGTCGTTTTGTGCAAGGAGTTGGGTCAGTCCGGCCTCGTTCCGAAGCGTGGGAAAGGGATGACGACCCCCAGAATCCCCACCGTTGCTGCTGAGGATGATTTCTGCATCGATGGAGATCGATAAGTGTAGTCCGTTAGAGTTTGGAAATTAGAATTAGGGAGTCAGAACCAGAGTGGTCTGTTCGGGGAGGGGTTGTGAAGAAAGGCGTGGCCTTAACGTAAGAACCTAGGAAGTGCCCTGTGCTGGATCAGGCCAAGGACCCCTACCTTAATGTAAGAACCTAGGAAGAGCCCTGTGCTGGATCAGGCCAAGGACCCCTCTGGTCCAGCTTCCTGCCTCTCACGGTGGCCCCGCGAGCTTCCTGCCTCTCACGGTGGCCCTGCCAGATGCCTCTGGGAGCCTACGAGAGACCACGAGATCCTTGTCTCCTGATCCCCCTGGCCTGCATCTGGGAGATTATATATCCCCATCATCATGGCTTGTCACCTGCGATGGACTTTTCCTCCAGAAATCTGCCCTGTCCCCTTTTTTCGAGGCATCTAGGCTAGGTGCCATCAGCACATCCTGTGGCAAGGAGTTCCGCAGGCTAACAACACGCCAGGCAAAGACATATTTTCATTTGTCTGTTCTCACTCCTCCAACGGTCAATTGGGGTGGATGTCCCCTGGTTCTGGTATTGCGTGAGGGGGGAAAGAGCTTCCTTCTATCCACTTTATTCACCCCCTGCATAATTTCATACGTCTCCATCATGTCCCCCTCAAGCGCCTTTTCTTTAGACTAAAGAGTCCCAAACGCTGTAGCCTTTCCTCACAAGGGAGGTGCCCCAGCCCAGTCATCCTTTGAGTTGCTCTGTTCTGCACCTTTTCCAGTCCCACAGTGTCTTTTTTGAGGTATAGTAACCAGAACTGTATCCAATACTCCAGGTACACCCTGACCAGCATTTTGTACGATGGCATTATCATGTTGGCTGTTTTATTTTCATTCCCCCCTTTTAGGGGGATTGTGAGTACTTGCGTCAAAGCAGGTATCCTCTGACTTTAGCGATCTGTGCAGAACAGAAAGTGTTCAAAATGATTAAGAGGGGGGAAAAATAAAGATTTAGGATTTTTTTTTAACTGCAGGAATTGTAGCGATGCTAACTGAGAGGTTCTGGAAATTTTAAAAAAGTTTAAAAATCGCCGTGCAGCTTGACGTTGAGTCTGAAAAGGGGGTGAGAAGGTCTGAGCAGAGACAGAGCGCAGATATTTCCCTTAGCCCTCCTTTCCCACGTCCGTACATTGTCTACATGTTGCATGAGATGGACATCATGGAGGACTGGACTGCCATCAAGAAGGTAAGTCGGTTGGGGGTGGGAGGCAAGGTGTTTCTGGAAGGGGAGTAGGGTCAGGATTTTGATGGTGTCCTAGTGATTCCGAGAGGGAAACCGAGGAGACACCAGGGAGACCGATTGTTGTGGCCGGTGTTCTTGTTGTTCCAAAAGCATCATGCTCAGATAAGGGATGTCACCAGAACACCACCCCTGGGTCTCACCGCTGTCCTTGTGTAGAATAAAACCAACGGATCACATATGTTAAAACCATGCAGATCATTCCAGTGTGAAAAAGAAATTCTGACTCAGGAGGAGAAAGAGCCGGCTGGATTTTCCTTGGCCTTTCTGTCCTGCGATGGTTAAGATTTTTGGAACGGAACGGCTGTACATCAAATCTCAAAGCACGTGTCCATACTGTTGTACTCTTTTGAGAAAGTTAAAGAGACTGTAGGGAAACCTTCATCGAGGCACTCAGGGCAGAGATGGGGAAAATTGCTTTTGGGATAGGCTGCTGGGAATATTCTCTTACTTGTAGTCAAAAATGGGGGGGGGGAGAACCCCACTATTTCATCACTTTGAGTCAACGAAGCCTCTTTCTCAGCTCTGCCTTATTGTTTTCTTCCCAGGCTAAAGCTGCAGTCTCGCCCCCGAAGAGGAAACTAGAAGGCAGGTGTTGTTATTTTTTAATTTTCTCTCCCTTGGTTTCATGAGATGCTGGGGGCCGTTCCCCACCTTTTCAGGGGCTTCTCTCTGTGCGATTGGGGATCTTGGGCGATGTGGATTGGAGAGTCTCCCAGTGCCTCCCCTTAAAACGCCCTGATCCCCCCCCCTTTCCGGCCTCCTTTCCTTTCTCCAGGCCCAGTGAAAGCCGAAAAGCTGCCTTCTCCATCCCTCTTCTCTGCGCACTGTGAAGACGGCCACCTCCATTACGAAGGCGAAGTCTACGTCAGAGGGCAAACTGTCTCTTTGCACGTGGGGGACGAGGCGCCTGTCCAGTGAGTGCGAAAGGCCAGAGAAAGCAGGCTGGGCAGCTACCCTGCCCGGTGCATTCAGGGGCACCTCCTCTCCCTGAAAGCAGGGAGGGTTGTGCAGATTTGAGCCTGGAGCAAACTTAGGGGAGGCCTGAAGTGTCTAGTTTGTCAGTAACGCTTTGTTGGGATGACTACACGTGATTTCCAGGATAGAAGGTAGCATCTCATGTCCAGGTTCTTTTACAGCAAATCGGCCGTTTCAAAGTCCTGATCGCCTCTGCAACCGTTCTTTTTGTTTAAATCAGCCCTGGGCGTGGTTGGTCTTCAAAAATTGAGAAGACTTCAGGCCGTGCTATCAAGCTCCCCCCCCTCCCTGTTTTCGCTGGTCTCTTCCGAACCTTCTCCCTTCTCTCCTCGTTAGGGCGGTCATTACAGCCATCAGCACAGGAGAAGTTTGGCTTCGCAGGGATGATGGCACCAAGACCAAACTCTACATGTCCCAGCTTCAGAAGGGCAAGTACTCCGTGCACAGGATCTAGGAATTTGGGACCCCCACGACGGGGGCCACAGACTCTGGCTCCCCCCGGGCTTCTCCCGGAACCCTCCAGGCCGTTCTCTTGTGCTTCTCTCGCTTGGAAACCGAGGGGACCTCTAGCCGAAGCTGTGTCCCGTCGCTGCCTCTTTTGATTCCCGTCCGGGGACAGAAGGGAGAACCGCTCACTGTGACGAATATCCCAGACCAGCCTTTCTTGGTCAGAGGACACCGGCCTCCTTGCCGCGCATCAAGTTGATGGTAACGCCTGCGATGCTCCTGCTACGAGCCGGACTGCGCTTGCCAAGCGTGTTTGGCTTCTGTTTGGCAGGAAGTCAGGGCTGGGGTGGCCGGCAGTGCCTCTGTCTGGAAGCCACCACCCCCACCCCCCAAAAATAAAACACCAAAGTGAAATCCACCACCACCACCACCCGACCCTTCCATTTATGGCTTCCTTAACTCAGCACGGACCGTTTGGGGGCAGAGGAAAAGTAGAGGATGCCGGGGGGGGTTCGATGTGTGGAAGGAAGGAGCCACGCGGTGCTTCGCTGATCCTAAATACTAGCCTCCAGCTGCCCATCGCCTTCTGCAGATCTAGAGTTTTCCGTGTGTGTGTGTGTGTGTGCAAATTTATTTATTTAGAATGTTTTTACTCCCGCCTTTCTCCTGAAAAACGACCCCCAAGGTGGCTGACGTCCTTCAGAGACCATATTAAGGCCAACCACAGGGAGGATATTAAAAAGGATCAACAAATACCGCACACACACACACACACACAAACATAAGTAACACCAAAACACATTCAAAACAGGTGCAACCATCCATTTAAAAAAAGCTTCGCCCAGGCAGCCCATCCCTCAGGGGGGGGAAAACTTGGCTGAAGGGAAAGGTCTTCGCCTGCGTTGCGGAGGGGCGGCCAAAATGAGGCCAGCCTGGCCTCTTTTTTTGTTGATTACAAATCCCATCACCCCCTAGCCATGAGCTGGGACGAAGTCTCCGGTACTTTGCTTTTGAATGAAAAGACATCTGGAATTCCTCTTAGCGCCAACTCCTGAAGTAAGATGAGTTATCCGTTCTGCTAGGGCTGCTTGGTCACCCGTCCACCGGCGTACGGTTTACGCTTGGAAGCCTTATTTATTTATTTTTAACCACAGTTCCCAGAATCCCCCAGCTCCATCCAAAAAATGTAATGTTTTTCCGAGCTCCCCAGACACCACACACCCCCTTCTCCTCCTTATGGTGTTGTGTGCTTCAATCAAGGAAGTTCAGGGGAAAAAATGCAAAATCTAATAAAGGAAGCCAGTGTTAATTCCAATCGTGGGAACTTTGCTGAAAATACAGAAGGGCAAATGCCAGGATATTGGGGCCTCTGAAGCGGCAGGCGGCACTGCAGGCCACCGGTGCGAATCCTGAGATTCTAGGACTCGCCTGTATAGCCTACGTTTCTATTAATTGGTCCTTACAGCAAGCCTAAGTCAGATGGCGAGTGGGTTTTGTGGTCTTGCTCTTTTCGCACCCGGATCTATCGAGTCGTACCGCAACTCTCGCCAACAAACATTGACATTGCTGCCTATTTATATACCTTCAACCCCATTTCCAAGCAGGGTACGAAACAAAATTGTTATAACGCAGTTCTGACTGTGTTAAAACATGCAGCTTTGTTTAAAATCCATTACTATGAGATCATAATTATTAATCCATCTGATAGGTAGTACTGTATTTTTCGCACCATAAGACGCACTTTTTTTACCACAAAACGGGGGTGGAAAAATCTGTGGGTTTTATGGAGAGAAGAAAACAGATTATATTTTCCTGTTTTCTTCTCCTAAAAAATTGGTGCATCTTATGGAAAGGTGCGTCTTATGGAGCGAAAAATACGGGTAAATGGAATCCCTAAATTTAAATATGGTAAAAGCCTGGGAACATGTTCTTTGAAAAAGGGTTCTTTATTTTTTCTAAAGTATGTCCTCTGCTAAAGACCTAAACAAGGCCTGTTCATAGTGAGCAGGAAAAAATGTCTTATTTTCAGGTATTTCTGCACAATCTTGAGAATTCATTCATTCCTTGAAATGAAGGGCCCCGGCTATCTCTTTTGGCCCACGGGCCAGTTAATTTCTTAAATGTGGGCTCACTGATCTTCGTGCCGTTAAAAAAAAAACACACACAACCCATCTGTAGCCAGTCCCAGGTATGTAAAAGCTGGGAAATCGCTGCTTTAGAAACTCTTCATTATTAGTCACACCAAAAAAAATTGCTGTTCATGTCACGGGTTCCGATTCAGCGGCTTTGGATCCTTCCTTGAAAGGTGATCTCAAGAGGGTGCTGGTGGGACTCCTCGAGGTTCGGTCCTGTTTCTGGAACCACAAAAAACTGGTGGGACGGAATAGCCTGGAGTTTCGTGTCCGGCCGGTGTCATACAGTTCATGTCTCCATTTCACCGGAAGGAGATGATGGTTTTGGTTCTAAACCATGAATGGACTGGATGGAGGGGACCGAACTGCAGGTTTGACCGGGCAAAACGGAGGCTTTCGGGGGCAGATCGCGTCAGATCGGCCAGGATCTGTGCTTCCAAAGCCTGCTCCATCACTTTTGGGGGGGGGGGTTACCGTTGGCTTCAGCCTCGAAGCCGGACAGCGTTTCCATTGCAGCGAAAGTGTCCGGCTCCCCCCCCGGGAACGTCCGATCTGGCTCCGGCCAGAGATCCGTTGGTTACCTCCCATTCGGATGGACCTCGGGAAAGCCAAGGTGTGGCACCCGGACGGTTTGCGCCCTGAGCCTCCGGCTTGTGACAGTTTTGCTGGCTCTCGGTCCATTTCAGGCCCCCAATTAAAAATGGAAGCTTGGGTCTTTGGATCCAGCAACACAGCTACTCTTTGGAAGGGGCTTGGGGGTTGGAGTGAGTCCTTCAAAGATGGGTCCCTCAAAGAGAGATCTCTCCAGTCAAAGCATCCCTTTTGGGGGAGACTTGATCTCTTTTTTTGCCATTTAGTTGCGCCCTAAGACACGTCCCGCCATCTCGTCAATCAATCAGCTGTAACTGGTTGTTAGGATGCTGTCCGGTGGCTCCCAGCCCTTTGAATGAGCCGTCTCCCTGCTCAGCTCTTGCCAAACTAAGCCTGTGGCTTCCTTGAGGGAGTCTGTCCATCTCATACTTGTTTGTCGGATTTTTTGATGTAACGTAGGTGCCTGTGCCTGATTCAGTTCGGAAGAAAGGTGGGGATGAAATGTAAGGAATGGATCCTGAATGAATGAGATTTTGCTTCAGGTTCCCCCCCCCCAGCACAAAAGGGAGCCCCCAGCAAACCTCAGATATAGAAAGCCTTCAGTGAGTTTAAACTGATTAAGAGCCAAACTTAAGAGCCGGTGGAACTTTATGCTACAGGATTTTGCCCACTGAGTCCGATCGTGGGTCCTTCTCGCTGGGCGTTGCCTGCACCCTCTGGCCGTGGTGCCGTGGAGGGTATTGCTTTGTTTTACCTTTAAAAAAAGGTTAGGGGTTAAGTCCTGGGTTTTCTTTATCCCTCTGAAATGCTCTGGTCCAGGGCTGAGCAAGATTTTGTTGGACTGCCGTTTGCCTCAGAGGTGAAGCACGATGGGAGTTGTAATCCAAGGACATCTGGAGAGTCTTTTCCTGCCTGGGTCACCCAGATCATGACCACGGTGTCCTGTATACACAAGAACACCGTGTTCTGCACAACGGTGTTCTGTATGCTTTCGCACGCTTCTCCAAAACCTCGTGCAAACCCAAAGGGGTGTGTAGGGGTGTGTGTGTGTGTGCAAATAACTGTTTCAACAGCGTTCGAAAGCCGTTGTCGCCCCCGCAGGAGACCACTTTGGGTGCTCCCTCTGCCCACATCTAGCCGAGCTGTTCCCCAGAGCAGATGTTGTCCTCGCCCCGATCTTAAAGCACCCTGCTTGGGATTTGCGACCAAGCCAGAATGGGAACACGAGGAAGGACGCTTGGCACCCTTCCAGGATCTGACCCTTAAGCCCGTGTCGTAGCAGCGCCATAAACCCAGCAGCGGGAAGAAACTTTGCCCTCTGAGTGATAAAGACTTCACGGGCTGCTGTCAGATGAAAGCACTTTGCGCGTCCCCAGAGACCCTCTTCTCGCCTGCTCTTTGGACGCTCCCGGAGGCTTTGCTGTTCCTCGGCTTTTTACGGAGGCCGCAAAGCCGACGGTGTGACCCACGAGGTGGAGGTCCAGATTCCTCAAAATTGAAGCCTTGGCATCAAAAGCTGGCCACCTCTCTTTCTCTCTCCTACACACACACACACAAAACACACACAGACTCACACCCGGCCAGCCCTCCTCCTGCCCAGGCCTTCCCCGTCATTGGATCACCGCCCGAGAGATGTGTTTCGACAGCCCTGAAGTGGGTGCAACCGAACGAAAAAGGGAAATCACATGGAACAGAAGCTGCTGGAGAAGCGAGGAGCGCACACTGCCAAGGAGACGCCTGGGGAAAACAACAGAGGTGAGCGATAATCGTTTTTTTCGGTTTCATTCCTTGAACTTGCCTGTCCACATTTTAAAAGCAACACCCCCCACACACAACTGTGCATGTACAATTGCAGACGAATTTCCTAGTTTTTTAAGTGCCCAGGTTCTGTGGCAACCTAGCTTTGGGGAAGGTCAGAGGTCTGGTGACCGAAGTCGATCTGAAATTATCTCGTACCTTCTCCTCTCAAGAGGTATAAAACGCTTTGTGTTGCTATCAAGGCCTCTGCGGGTATCCTCAAAACAGCTTGTGCCAAAGGGAGCTGTCTTCCAAAGTGGAGTGATGAGCAGAGTCCGGATTTCGTTTTCATCCGGTGGCTGGAATATGGGAAGCGAGGGTCCCCTGATGGAAAGCTTGAAGTTAACCATCGGAGATTATTTTCAACTTCTGGACTGCAAACGTGTCAGTTGTTGCTCTCCGGAGGAGGAGGCTGCGCTGGCGGATCAGGTCTCCGTGAATTTCATCAAAACTCTGGTTCTATTTATGCATCTGTGAGTAGGTAGATGCACCAGCCTTTCCTGGAGAATAGGGACCCAAAGCAGAAATAGAGAGAAATTCTCTCTCTCTTGCATGTATTTTAGAACCACGAACCCTGCCAAGTGGAATCGGGCATGAAAATGGCACATTTGAAAACTGACAGATTCTGAACCCAGGAGTTTGTCCCGAGGGCCAGAACTGAACACCGTTCGGCAGCCTCAAACCAAACAAAAATTTTTCTGCCTTGTTGCAGGATGTCAATGAAAGCCACCGACTCCGGCAGCCACTTTGAGGTGTCGCAAAAGGGCAAAATATTACAGTGGTGCCTCGCTAGACAATGATAATCCGTTCCACTGAAATCGCTGTTTAGCGAAATCATTGCCTAGCGAAAAGCATTTCCCCGTTGGAATGCATTGAAACCTGTTTAATGCATCCCAATAGGGAAGAATCGTCATTGTCTAGCGAAGATCGGCCATAGGAAAGCCGCAGTGCGAACCGCCAATCAGCTGTTTAAATCGCTGTCTTGTGAAGCTTAGGTCCCGAAAACACCCGTTTTACGAGCGCGGAGGGAGCTGTCAAAATCACCGCCTAGCGAAAATCGGTTTGCGAAGCGGGGACCAAACATTGTCCAGCAAAATTCCCCCATAGGAATCACTGTTTTGCGAATCGCTATAGCGATTGCAAAAAGTCGATGTCTAGTGAAAAAACTGTCATGCGGGGTGACTGTCTAGCAAGGCACCACTGTAGTACCGATTGAAGTGACATTGTGTAAATTACTGGGGATTCTGAGCTCTTCCTATCCTTTGTGTTATAAAAGGATGGGTGCGTGTGTTCCTTTTGGGGTTTTTATGCCTCTAAGATCTAAAAAAATAAGTTGGCCAATATAAGTTGGCCAGCCCTTGGGTGCGAGATCTACTGAGCTCTGCTGTTGACCTCAGGCAGCAGAATGTCTGGGTGTACCGATTGAAGTGACATTGTGTAAATTACTGGGGATTCTGAGCTCTTCCTATCCTTTGTGTTATAAAAGGATGGGTGCGTGTGTTCCTTTTGGGGTTTTTATGCCTCTAAGATCTAAAAAAATAAGTTGGCCAGCCCTCGGGTGCGAGATCAACTGAGTTCTGCTGTTGACCTCAGGCAGCAGAATGTCTGGGTCGGCGCCGGCTCCTCTTGCTTCCTTTTTAGCAGCATAATTTTTCACGTGGAGGATGATGAATCATTCCGTTGACACTCAGCAGTTAGGAATGGGAAGTCCCCGCCGATCTACTGGAAATCGTGCCGAGATCAACCACCCCAATTCAGGTCTACTTTCCATCCACTTCCCGCCCAGAGGCGAAAGTGTTTGACACTGGATTAAGTGAAGTGTTGTCAAATCACTCTTTTTTTATTTTATTTTATTGGGGGTCTGTGATCTTAATACCCCAGAGCCAGGTAGAAATGTGTGAGATGCGACGGCAGAAAATTCTAAATGGCATGAAAAGGCATGGAAGAGTTTGTTGTTCATCTCATTCTTGTGGAGTGTTATTTTTTAAAAAAACTGTCGGGATTAAAAAAGAAGGATGTGGGTTGTTGTTTTTTTGGTTTAATGTGTCAGCCTTACTTGGTTGGCCTGCACCGTGACTTTCTTGAGTGGCTGAGGTTTATTCTTTTCTCTACATATATTCCACTTAAAGGGAAGCCCATCTCGCCGAATTTCGTGTGACGGTATGACCAGGTTTCGTTTCTTCTGTCGCGTGTCCTCGGTTTTGAAAAAGAAATTTGCTGTAAGAGTGGAGCGGGCTGGTGCAGTTCTCCTTGAACTGGGTGTTTTCCAGACGGGTCAGGTGGCCACATCCATCATCCGTGTTGTGTGAGGATGATGGGAGCTGTAGTCCAGTACCTCTGAGGGGAGGGGAGGCAAAAAAAAAAGAGGCATTTCTTCCTTTTCCAAAGGCTGTTCCCCTCATTTGTCCTGGCTGGAGATGATGCCATCACATCAAGCCTCTCTGTCAGGGGGTGGGGAGGGAAGGAGTCCAGGATCAGCCCCTTGTGGGGCTGAGTCAACCCTTCCTGGCCAAAGGATCCCACTTAAGGCTCAATTTACAAATTCCCTGGAATTGCCACGTTCCCCATTTGCCTCCTGCCCTGAGATTTCCTCCAGGCCAGACTTTTAAAAAAACTCTTCACAACAACCCTGTGAGGTCAATGAGGAACACGGAGAGACCGTGAGTGGCCCATTTCCATGGATGCGTTGAGACCCACATCTCCCCAGACCCAGGCTCCCCTCTGTAACCACTGTACGACACTCTTTCCTGGCAGAATGCTTAACGATGGCAATGAATCGCTCCTCAAGTCAGTAGCCCCCGGCGAACTGACGTACGACGAAAGTTTCCTCTTCATGGACCAGGAAACGTGGTGGGCTTTGGTTCCCCCCCCCAACTTTTCGGTTTTTGTGAATTCCGTCTGCACTGCGATGGGAAGAAATGGGAAGATTTCAACTCGTTTGGGGACGAGCGAGGGCCAAACCATTCAAGGCCGAGCCCCGAGGAGCTTACAATCTAATCCGATGGTTTAGGGTGGAGCAGTGGATGAAAAGGGAACATGAAATCAGGATAACAAAGCCTCTATCTGGAGCAGGGCCATTGTGTGGGGCTGGAGGCGATAAGGACTCCGGGGTTAAGGTCTCTCTCGCCCTGGCATGCGGCTGATTCACTCGGGATTAATCTTTTTAACCTCTAGGATAAGGCCTCAAGGATGCACCGGAGCCTCTCCCCAAATTGACGCTGCTCCTGGCTCGCTTCCACCCATGCCTGTCTGATTCATTCTCTGGCCTCCTGCCCGCCCGCCCACTCCCACTGCGTGTTGTGAGAACTCTGGGACGGCTCCGTTCAGCGCCCATCCTTTTCCAGTTGTGCCCCCCACAAAGGGCGAGGACTCCCCCACTCATGCCTTTTCGAAGCAGCAGGACGCTCCCCCCTCCTGGCCTTTGACCCTGGCGCTGCTTTCACCTGTGTTGGCATTTGTGTGCCAGGCATAGTCTTTCCCCCGTTGGGTTTCTCCACCTTGCATCGTTTAGAATCCTCCTGCTCTCTCGCCGCACCATCTTTTCACCCATCTTAACTCTATATGACCTGCTCTGACGGGCAGCCGCTCTCTCCGGGGCCCAAAGCAGAGAAAGATCATTCTAGACCACGGATGGTCACCGGTCACCTTTTGACTAAAGGGGACGGGGACTGGAATTCTTGACATGCACAGGAGCGGCTTCAGCCCCGACTCCCTCTTCAAGGGCTTGTCCGCACAACGAGGTGTTGTCTCCAAAGGTATTTGCTAACCCACTTGGTCGTCCCGTGATGACTCTTGCATTTTTCCGTAATGGGATTGCAGCCCGTGAGGCTGGAAAATTTGAAGCTCTCCGGGGGGCTCCTCAGAACAGGGGTGTCTTGGTTCCAAATTGTTCTTGGATTTCCCCTTTCGATTCCATTTTGTGGTTGATTTCTTGGCTGGTGTGGGAGCCGTTCTTCTGCCTTCCATTCAGGCGACCTGGAACGAGAGGTTTTCAGGGATTTCCAAGGAACACACCTCTCTGAGAACTGAATTGAAGGTTCCCTTCCTGGCACTGGAGGAAGGATGTTCGTTAGATGGCCCATTTTCTCAAAAAAAAAGAGAAAGAGAAAGTTTTAGGTCTTCTTCTCGGAGATGTGGGCCATATTGGATATAAATCAGCAAAACGGAAACCAAAGGCCACTGGGTCTCTCAGGTTGACTTCCGTCCTTGGTGTGGCTTTTATTTTATTTTAGGTTTGCGTCTTGCCTGACGTAAGATAATCTTCTCTTTCCTTTCGCTCCCTCAGGATGATGCGCAATCCCATTTACGACTACCCGGAGCCCTACGCCAATCCTCGGCGTGAGGCGCTGATGTCTGGCCAGAGCATCAGCCTCGTGGGCCGGCTGCGCCTCACCCAGGCCGTTTGGCTACAGCTTGGCATCAATTCCGCCACCGCCCTCCACATCTTGCAGCGAGAACCTCCCGGGGTAAGACCATGTGTCATTTGCACCAGAACTCATCTTTGGTAGATGGACGTTGATGGGAAGAGGACCTCTGAGCCTAGCCAAAATACTGTATTTTTCCGTATATAAGATGCCCCCATGTATAAGACACCCCCCACTTTTCTAACACTAAATTAAGAAATCTAAGTGGGGCTTAGCAAGTGTAGGGGGAAAGGGATCAAAGTGCTGCAGGATCGCTTTGATCCCTGCTCTCCCCTCCACTTGTTTTTGTCCTCTCCTCTGCTTACTTCCGTGTATAAGACGACCCTCAATTTTTAGTCCAAAGATTTTAGACAAAAGTATAGTCTTATACATGGAAAAATATGGTAGCAAATGTAGGGTGAAAAGGATGCTGCAGGATGGCTTTGATCCCTGCTTTCTCTCTTTGTGCTAAGCCCCGCGTGGCTTAGCAAAAGGAGGGGGAAAGGGAACAAAGCAATTCCACGAATGCACAATTATTTTGATCCCTTTCCCCCTTATACAACCATGGGATTGCTTTGATCCTTTCCCTCCACCTTTTGCTAAACCCCATGGGACTTAGTAAGCAGAGGGGGAAAGCAGGGATCAAAGCCCTGCAGGATCACTTCGATCTCTGCTTTCCCCTACCATTGGTTTTTGTTCTCAGCTTACTTCTGTATATAAGACGACCGTCAATTTTTAGTCCAAAGATTTTAGGCAAAAGTTTAGTCTTATACATGCAAAAATATGGTATTTCCTTCCTCCTCCATTGGATAGGATTGCCACATTTTGTCCCACTAGACACTCTTTTGCGTTCACAATCTGCCTGCCATATATGGGTGGGGGATTGTGTGAAATTCACTTGCTGAACATACCACATTCATGTCACTGGTACAGCCATAAAGGACATTAGCAAGAGGTACATCTAAGCTCTCTTGAAGAACCATCATCAACAACTCTTGGCCCTCATGTTGAAAACAAAATTGGGATGGGCTGCCTCTTAAACACTGTGGAAATTTCGAAACACATGGCGTGGGGCGAAACATTAAGCCACATCCTGCCAGCCACTGGCATTACACATGCTTTAAGAGGAGTTTTCCTGGCAATCTTTGCCATGCATTTTTTTGGGATATTATAACTTTCCTGCATTACTCACAAGGGGCTGAGGTATGCCTGAAGAAGTGGATTGTTATTCCATGAAAGCTTCCCTTTAAGGTTTGCTTTTTAGTGGTCTAAGAAAGGTGCCACCTTCTGCAATTTTGTCTTGTGTCATGACGATCACACGGCTTTCTTCGGATATTTATGTGGGACCCAGCTGTTCTTAGAGGGCTCCAGAAGTGGACAGACATGGGGGAGACCCTCGGCTTTTAAGTGACAGCCAAAAAGGCAGTAAGTGATGCTGTGCCTCAAATTAGAACAGAATCGGAGCCTGCTGGGATCTCGGGAGACCATGTGGTCCAGCCACCTGATCAGTACACTGCAGACTTTTGAACGTGTGGTGTGCATCTGTAGACACTTGCACATCTGAACACTGGCTTTAATATCTCGAGCCAAGCGGAAGGCACCGGCTTCCGAGGCTGGCTCTTCCATACTCAGAACAGCCCTGACTTTTGAAAAGTTCCTTATGCTATTTCTTAGTCCAGATCGGCTTCCCGGACCCCCCCTCTTGGCTTTCCTCCAAGTTTGCTCCATTTTCGGCATGCCCGCTTTTCACGTGTTCGAGGGCAACTGTGGTAACATGCAGTCCTTGCTAGTTAAATTCCAGTCTCTGTTCATGGCGGCGTGAAACCTGAGGGTAGTGCAGAAAACAAAACAAAAATCAGGAAAAGGCTGTGTGGTTTCACAAAACAATACAAGAGGAGGTCATACCTTCATTAGACTACTAAAAATCCAAGCAAACAGTTATTACAGAGAGACAGAAGGGTGTCACGGATAGAGCTTTTGGTGTTACGTGCCGTTCAAGTCTGAACTGACTTACGGTGACCCTAATAGGACTTCCAAGGTAAGTGAGATATTGGAGAAGTGGTTTTACCAGTTCCACCACCCCCTAGTGAGTTTCCATGGCTGAGTAATAATTCGAACTCGGGTCTCCTGAGTCGTAGTCCTTCCCTCTATCCACCACACCACCTGGGGTAAAGTGTCAGGTTCAAGTACCCGTTCAGCCACCGGGAAACTCACTGGGAGAGGCACTGGCAAAACCATTCCTTAAATGCCTCAAATAACTTGAAAACTATGCCTCGTTCCTTTGGATGTGTTTTTGGCGTCGGTTTTGTTTACTATTTTTAGTGTGCAATTTCTTTGGTTCTTTTAAATATTTGTGTCTCTACTGTTTTTAGCTTTTAAGTCTTGTCTTCTCCTCGTGGGTCCTTTTTTAAGGTGAAAGGCAGGGTAAAAATATTTTAAATACCTCCGTAAATAAATAAATAAATAAATAAATAAATAAATAAATAAATAAATAAATAAATAAATAAATAAATAAATAAATAAATAAATAAATAAATAAATAAATAAATAAATAAAACTTCACGGCACGTAACAAAAGCAGTGGCTCCAGATCCATGAAAACGGAGAATCTGTGTTTTTTTAAATGATATTTTGGGTGCACGCCTGTGAGGAGTAACCAAAGCTAAAAAAAATTTGTGGTGGGTTTTTTTCTTTTTCTTTTTCGTTCTGTTTTCTACCCAGACATTATTTTGAAAGCGGCACACGCTCCTTTGAGAAAACTGGTCCTCTCATGGTGTTTCTCTCCCTCAGACTTGTTCAGTCCCGCCTAACCCAGTGCCTCATTACCCCTTCCCATCCTTAGACATTTTTGGTACGGAGATCCAACACGCGGCAGTGCCAGGTGCTGTGCTTACGTCTCCCCGATATTTCGTCCCCGGCTTTTGTCACGACCTATCGCTTACACCAGGATCGTGCAGGTAAGGTGGGTTTGCTTTCGCATTTGATGGGAAGGGAAATGAGGCAGCATCTGATGAAAGCAGTATAGGTGCCACCTTTTCATTTCACGTGGTTTGCATTCATGGGGGGGGTTATAAAAATCCAATTACCGTATTTTTCCACGTATAAGACTATACTTTTGTCTAAAATCTTTAGACTAAAAATTGAAGTAAGCTGAGGAGAGAAAAAAACAAGTGGAGGGGAAAGCAGGGATCAAAGTGATCCTGCAGGGCTTTGATCACTGCTTTCCCCTCCACTTGCTATGCCTTAGCAAAAGGAAAGCAGGGATCAAAGTACTGCAGGATGGCTTTGATCCCTGCTTTTCCCTATGCCTGCTAAGTCCCATGGGGCTTAGCAAAAGGAGGGGGGAAGATCAAAGCAATCCAATGGCAGTATAATGGGGAAAGGGATCAAAATAACTGTGCGGTCGTGGAATTGCTTTGATCCCTTTCCCCTCCTTTTGCTAAGCCCTGCGGGGCTTAGCACGAAGGGAGAAAGCAGGGATCAAAGCCATCCTGCAGCGCTTTGATCCCTTTCCCCCTACACTTGCTAAGCCCCACTTAGATGTCTTAATTTTGGTTTAGAAAAGTGGGGGGCGTCTTATACACGGAAAAATACGGCAATTAAATAATTGTTTATTTATACTCACCTCCCTCTTTTCTCTAGTCACCTGGCTAGAAGGCTCGGATCTGACCTTCCCCAGCCTCCTGCATCTCATCGCCTCCTACTGTTCGATCCCGTAAGTTTTCGCCCCGTCCCCTGCAGTCCTGTTACCTCCTTGGATGGCCCCAAGACAAGAGACTTTCTTCCAGTTGAAACTCATGTATACGTTGGGGGCGAAAATCCTTCGTTATAGAAGGGTTTTTTTATGAAGCGGCAATTTTTTTTCAGCCAGGGGCTGCCATTCCATCCTAAAGTACATGCCTCGCATGTACAACTTTTATTAGTTCAAATAGCCTTACCCTCATTTAGCATCATAAGTCCCCATTAGAGTAACCCATTTGAGTCTATGGAGTTTACACAGGAGTTGACTCATTGAATCCCTATTCTTTCAGTGGATCCCCGTTGAGTGCCATTGGCTACTCTGAGCCACAGAATACTGGCTGCTCTATGACAGCGTCGGATACTTTTAAGTCAATGCCTATGTTTCAAATGTACTGTACAGTACTATGCTATGGTCACCCAGAAATTTCAAATTTTTTAAAAAATTGAAAATTGAAATTTCTGGGTTCGGGTAACATGTTTTGAAAAACTTGCTTTTAAAAAAAAATCATTTCCATCGGTCGCTTGACGAATCTTTTTTTCTTGCTTCTCTTTTTAAGGGATATCCTCCCCCTCTCTTTGCGTCTTCCTCGGCCCATCTGGGAGGCCTCATCCTGCCAGCAGCTGGAGGCCATTGCACATTTGGGGCTTGGTGAGTGGCTCAGTGTGACGTCAGAGGCAACACACACACACACACACCAGCCTCCGTGGACCCCTAGAATAGCCACCACACCCTTCCTCTTGCATCCCGCTCTTGTTAACTTGAGAGCAATCCACAACATGCATGGAGTGACAGCGGTTTGACTCTGCGGTAGCTGTCATCCTGGCTCCATCCTGTCCGTTCCTGGGATTTAGGGGAGGCAGTGGAAGACAGGAGGGCCTGGCGTGCTCTGGTCCATGGGGTCATGAAGAGTCGGACACGACTTAACGACTAAACGACCATGATGACGAGGAATTTAGGAGTCTCTACTGGAGTTCAGAGGAAGAGCACTAAGAGTTTTCTGGCAGAGAGTTCCAAATATCTCTTTGTTGTTGTTTAGTCGTTAAGTCATGTCCGACTCTTTGTGACCCCATGGACCAGAGCACGCCAGGCCCTCCTGTCTTCCACTGCCTCCCGGAGTTTGGTCAAATTCATGTTGGTCGCTTCGATGACCCTGTCCATCCATCTCTGTCATTCCCTTCTCCTCTTGCCCTCACACTTTCCCAACATCAGGGTCTTTTCCAGGGAGTCTTCTCTCTTCTCATGAGATGGCCAAAGTCTTGGAGCCTCAGCTTCAGGATCGGTCCTTCCAGGGAGCACTCAGGGTTGATTTCCTTCAGAATGGATAGGTTTGTTCTCCTTGCAGTCCAGGGGACTCTCAAGACTCTCACTCCCATACGTCACTACTGGAAAAACCATAGCTTTGACTATGCGGACCTTTGTCGGCAAGGGGATGTCTCTGCTTTTTAAGAGTATCTCGCCAGACTGCAAATCCCAGCTTTCCGTAGGAAATCTAACATGCTATTGAGCTACTATAACCATAGCGTATCCATACTTCTGATCTGCCTCCCGTCATCCTTGCGGACCGGCTGTGCTGGATAGAGCCCATCGGAGTTACAGCATTGGTGGGCGAGGGCGAGGGACACCCCACTTGGCCATGAAGCGCACAGGGTAACCTTTCTCCTCTCCGGACCTACCTCATGGGCTCATTTTGAAGCCTAAAGATGTGCAGGTGTGACCTCGTAGCCTGCCTGGAGGTCACTGGGGGGGAAAAGGTGGGATCACCCAAACCAATAATATATATTTATTTAAAATAGTTTTACCCTGCCATTTTCCTTAAAAGGACTCGAGGCGGTTTACATCCTTAAAAGGCACTCTTAAAGCAAACAACGGAGAGTATACAAATACTAAAAAAGATCAAACACTCATGATACTAAAGAAAGATTAACACCCAAAGACATTGAGAGCAGAAAAGTGACACTATCTATTTAAAAAAGTCACTCAGGCCGGTGGTCACTCAGGAAAAGCTTTGCCTCCTTCCGAAAGGACGACAAAGATTGGACCAGCGTAGCCTCCGGTGGCTAATAATAATAATTTCTTTCTTTCTTTCTTTCTTTCTTTCTTTCTTTCTTTCTTTCTTTCTTTCTTTCTTTCTTTCTTCCTTCCTTCCTTCCTTCCTTCCTTCCTTCCTTCCTTCCTTCCTTCTTTCTTTCTTTCTTTCTTTCTTTCTTTCTTTCTTTCTTTCTTTCTTTCTTTCTTTTTCCTTCCTTCCTTCCTTTTTATATTTCTTTCTTTTTATATTTCTTTCTTTTTATATTTCAAAAAGCAGTTGGCTAATCACTTTTCCTGGACCATTGCACATTTTTTTTTACAATGGAAAAAAAGGAAGGAAAAAAACTATTTTCATCTCGTTGAGGACTGTCCAACCAGCTGGGCATTGCATTAATCTGAGAGGAGGGAGGAAAAGCAAAAAAAAAAAAAAAGGCCCATCAGAGCCGAACGCTGGGCGATGCAGTCTTCCATTGAGCACGTTCCCTCTTGTAGGGTGGCGGATCTCGGGGTGGTGGTGGTTGATCTTCCCCAAAGCATCTGTTTGTACTATTCTCCCCATTGCAATTTTATTTTATTTTTTTAAAAGTTAGCCATGGGGTTCATAAGTCAAATTTAGAAAAGCGGAATGGGATCGCTTTTTATGGGACTGTCAAAATTTCAAAAAGGAAGGAAGGAAAAAGGGGAAAGTAAGCTTCAGATGGTCTTAAGTCAGGCTTGCTGTTGTCCAAACGTGGGAGACCGTTCTGGATTCATCGTCCTGGCCAGATGTTAAAAGCCATCAGATCGAATCTGCAAGCAGAGGGAGTTTGCAGATTCAAGCGTGATCCGGTTTGCCCTACAAATGCAATCCAATGCATTACAACATCAAATTCTAATTTATTGATATATCTTTTATATCGGATTTTTTCACTACACAGCACTTGCTAAGTAAAAATGGGCAATTATTAATAAAGGGCCATAAGCCATATTCTCAATAAAAACAGCCGGAGGTTCAGGACTACACGATGCTTTTAATGGGCTTTTTCAGTGATCTTTCTCACTGTGTGGGTTTTGCAAGAATAGGAGAACCATGGAAATCTTTTTTAGCTCTCTGTGACTGGGGTTGATCCAGGGGTGCATCCCACACACCCCTGCGGTTGCCTAGCAACGGGGCTCTATCCTGTTTTCCCCCCCGTCTGGCAAAGACAGGGTGGGTGGGAAGAGGCTCGCTTAGGAGAAGACGTGGCAACTGTTACGTGGCAACTGTAGGAGAGGGCGCGTGGCTCAGCAGGACCCGGGTTCACCTCCCGTTGAAAAGAATCCGGCAGGGAAAAAAATGAGTTGGAAGGGGCCGAAGAAGGCGTATGACCGCCGAAAGTCCACAGAAGGTCATAAAGGCCTCCTGAATGGTCTGCCAGGGAACTGACATTCAAACGTGATTTTAAAAGAGTCACGGATGGTTGGGGAGCAGGCCCATGTTCGCCGGCTAACCCTGTCCAGGGTTCTTCCATTATGCCTCCAGGAGTTCTTCCATTATGCCTCTTCCATTATGCCTCAAAGATGGCCAACAGGATGGGAAAAGTCTTGGGCTAAGCAGTATGGATCACATGGTGGTTGTGGGGGTTTCTGGGCTGTTTGGCGGCGTTCTGGAGGTTTTTCTTGCTAACGTTTCGCCCGTCTCTGTGACCGGTCTTTTCAGAGGTGGGTTCTTCCATTCTGCCTCTGGTAGCTGGCCGGCCATGTTAGCCATCTCAAAGATGGCCAAGAGGATGGGAAAAGTCCTGGGCTAAGCAGTATGGATCACGTGGTGGTTGTGGGGTTTTCTGGGCTGTTTGGCGGAGTTCTGGAGGTTTTTCTTGCTAACGTTTCGCCCGTCTCTGTGACCGGTCTTTTCAGAGGACAGGAGACAGGACTCCCAAAGACTACAGCAGAACACAGGCAGAGTCCGAACTCTGTCTGTGCTCTGGGGCAGTCTGTGGGAGTTCTGACTCCTGTCCTCTGAAGGGGCCAGCCACAAAGAGAGACAAAACATTAGGAAGAACAACCTCACGAACACGGCCAAACAGCCCGGAATACCCACAACAACCGTCGGATCCCAGCCGTGAAAGCCTTTGGGAATACGGTATTGATCACACTTTGCTCCTTTTCCTTCTGTCCCCCATCCCAGAATTCTGGAGCTCATCTCTCAACACGAAGGAATTGGACATCCCTGTTCCCTTGGCGTTGCCTTCTGGGGTGGATGCCGACTCTGGCCCCGCGGGAGACGACCAGACACACGCCGCAGAGCCAGCGGGTGGGACGCCTACCAACCTTTCAAACCCGCCGTGGAGTGGACCACTGCGCGGAGACGTGGGTGTCCGGCGCCAGTACTTCAAGAACCACGTCAAGGTGCAAGTGTCCACGGAAGCCGCGAGTCCCCTCTCGCCGCCCGCAGCCCCGCCACCGCCCATCCCTGTTGGGAAGAAGATGAAGAAAAACCCACGTCCATCTCCGACGGAGAGAAGCCAGCCTTCGAATCCGAGCCCGTGGGCTGGAGTTTCTTCCCAGGCCGCGATGAAGCGGGAAGACTACCGTATACCCCAGACCCAAGAGAGGGTGTCCAGTGGCCACCCCAGAGCCACTCTGAACCCTCCCTCGTCTCCGGATCAGGCGCTGCAGGTTATGGAGGAGGATCAGCCCGAGTTACGCGACCAAACAGCCGAGCTCGACCACTTTCGGTGGAGCTTCCCAGTCCAAGAAAGTTTGGGCCACGGAGAAAGAGGGCACGGCCTTTCCTTCTCTGGGCCTTCGTGACCTGATCCGGGTGCCGTGCTTATTTTGTTGAGAAGACAAATGCCAAGACTCGCAAGCGTGTCTCTGAAGGAAAAGAGAAAGAGAGAGAGATGGTGAATGGATCCTAAGTTCTGGGGAAAGAATATTGTCTGGAAGCCAAGAATTCTCAGCACGGGACCAACGTTCTTTGGAGGGAGCATCTGTGCCTGCATGTATTTTCGGATGCTTTCAAAACTATCTGTTCCAACCAGTGAATTGCAGTGTTTAATTTCAAAACTAGGCCAACCCACCTCGCAGGGGCCGTGAGGATCCGACGGGAAGCGAGTGCGAAGCCCGTCCATCATCTGGATATTCTTGGAGGAAAGCTGAGATGCAAGTGGAGTTCGTAATTCAAGAATTCAAGGCATTCCCTGAATGGACTAATATTGTATAACCGTTAGGGTTTCTTTGAGGGTCGGCCGAGCTCCCTTTGTGACTGGAAGCGTCACAGGTAGCAGAGGGTGTAAAATTAGGGGAGGAGAAGAGAACTCTGCATGAGCTACTTGGGAGGAATAGATACATCAGACGGAAGTAGAATCTTCGCTTCGTTTTCGAAAGTGTTCCCAACGATGGATTCTGTTGGATGCAGAGTTTGAGAGGCTCAATGCAACAGGCGAGCCCCACCTGAGGCCAAAAAAACCAACCCCAAAACAAGGCAGAAAAACATCGCTGTATTGAACAAGCTGCTAGAAAATTGTTGTTATTTTTCCCCTTTTAATCTTACCCTAAATCCATCCCTGTCTATGTTTGGCAGCCTGTTGTGTTGACCATGTTCTACCCATGCCGAATAACGGTTCAGTTTAGGTTGCCGTTTTGTATATTGCGCTTGGCCTACGTTGGATCAAGGGCAGGTATAAAATTCTTTGAATAAAGACTGTTATTATGATCGGCGGGAATACTTTTTAAATTCAGTGACATGCCAATCCATATCAGAACCTCGGGAACCCTGGTTCTCATAAATACCCACGGTTTAACCGTTTAAACATGATTTAAGCTCTCTGCCTAGTTGAGTTAAACCACAGAAGCCTCTGGGCTGCAAGGTCAGAAGAACAGCCGTCGCAAGATCGAATCCATGCAATGGAGGGAGCCCCAGCTCCCGCCAACCTAGCCGTTTGAAAGCATGTAAAAATGCGAGTAGATAAATAGGTACCACCTCGGTGGGAAGGTCACGCCATTCCGGGTCTAGTCACGCTGGCCACGTGACCACGGAAACGGTCTTCGGACAAATGCTGGCTCTATGGCTTGGAGACAGGGATGAGCCCCGCGCCCCTAGAGTCGGACACGACTGGACTAAACGTCAAGGGGAACCTTTACGTTTGCCTAGCTGAGTGTAAATGATGATATTACAATAAGGAACACACCCAATAATTTATGGCAGGAAGGCGGCTATCAGAAGAAAAACCTGACTATTTTCTCTCTTCTGCTTTGCTGATTCATCTCCCCCTTCCACATCCTAAGGTTACCCCTGGTGACCCACCTCCCCTCCGTAGGCGAGCCAAGGAAGGTTGCCAAAATATCAACATCAGGGCAGTGTAATGCAGGGAGTTTGGGGGGGGGTGAGATGAGATACGTGAATGCCGGAGACCGAGAGGCAAAAGGCATGTGGAAAAAATGCAATGTGACTAGGTGCATTTTTTAGCAGTAACTCACTCCTGCCTGTTCTGTGCCAGCTTCCTTTGGGTTGAAATAATTTCCCTTCCAAGCCATGGGGCACACCCTTGACACGAGCACAGGTGTGCCTTTTAAACATGTCCAGAATACTGCGCACCTCTGCCTAAGGCCATCTTTTTCTCTTCAGGAAGACAAATCGCAAAGGAGAAAGGATACAGTGGTGCCTTGCTAGACGATAGAAGACAAGTCGCAAGGGAGAAAGGATACAATGGTGCCTCGCTAGACGATGATAATCCGTTCCACTGAAACCACTGTTTAGCGAAATCATTGTCAAGCGAAAAGCATTTCCCCGTTGGAATGCATTGAAACCTGTTTAATGCAATCCAACGGGGAAGAATCATTGTTGTCTAGTAAAGATCGGCCATAGGAAAGCCGCTTTGCGAACCGCCGATCAGCTGTTTAAATCACTGTCTTGCGAAGCTTAGGTCCCGAAAACGCCCGTTTTGCAAGCGTGGAGGGAGTTGGCAAAATCATCGTCTAGCGAAAATTGGTTTGCGAAGCAGGGACCAAACATTGTCCAGCGAACTTCCCCCATAGGAATCACTGTTTTGCAAATCGCCATAGCGATCGCAAAAAGTCAATGTCTAGCAACACCCAAACACATTCAAAGCAGTAAAGGAACAATATCACCCATTAAAATCCTCCACTCGGGCCACAAGGCACTGAAAGAAAGCCTGCCTGGAGGGAAAGGTCTCTTCCAGAGTCATATTCTTTCACAGTTGAGTTTCCGTGGCCAAGGGGAGAATCAAACCTTCTTCTCCAAAGTCCTGGTTTTGTTACTCTACCCACTACACTACACTGGGGAAACCTTCACACCTAAATAGCCGTTCTTAAAACCTTCACACCTAAATACGGAAACCTTCACACCTAAATAGCCGTTCTTTGTTGAAGCGTGAGCTGGAGTCGTCCTTTTGATTTTGCCTAACGAATGCCAAGAAGATCGTCCTCAAATCTAGGCAATAAAGGAACAAGGAGGAGGTCCCGGTAACGCAGGGATAGGCCCTGAAGAGTTTGGAGCAGTAAAAAATAAAATAAAACTTCAATGGGAAGAGATTGTAAAGGAATTGGGAGGGGGGGCATAAAAACCAAGCAAAAGAAATTCACAAGTACCCCAAGCAGGGCTAAACGCTCTCCTTGGCAAAAGAAATGCTGAAAGGAGGGGAAAAGAAATTCAAAAAGAAGCTGGATGGATGGATCTTAAAGCATTTAGTCCATTAACATTTTGTTGCAGGTCCCACCCGGATCCTTGCTCTGGCTCAGCCTGGCACAACCTGTTTTTCCGCCAAATCTCCTTCCTTGCAAAACACGGCTTCTTATCACCCTCTTCGCCTCCCCTGGGACGGCCCCTTTGTGGCGTAATTTTTTTTAATTTCCCCGGAACATTTCGTCTCTCCTTCAAACGGTTGCATTCTCAGTTCTAATCGAAACGCGTCAAATGGGTTGTGGTTATGCGCAGTTATGCGCTGTCAGGGCTCCTCCGAGTCAGGGCGACCCCCCACGAACGAGCCACCTCCAAAAGATCCTGTCCTCAGTTGCCCTGCTCAGCTCTTGCAATCTGAAGCCTGTGGCTTCCTTGAGGGGGGTCAATCCATCGCTTATCTAGTCTTCCTCTTTCCCTGCTGCCTTCCGCCTTTACCAGTGTTATTGCAGTTTTTTCTCCCCCCAAAGAATCCTGCTTTTGCAGGATGTGTCCAAAGCAGGATAGCCTGTGTTTCGACATTTTTGCCTCCAAAGATGTTTTTCAGGCTTAACTTGATCAAGGACCCACTGGTTCACCTTTCTGGTAGTCCAGACGATCCGCAGCGCTGCATTTCATTGATGTCCCTTCTGAGTCTGATGTCCATTTGTCACTTCTTGAAAATGAATGTCTTTGTCTCTCCTTTTCTGTGTATTTGTAAAAGTTCTTGTGTGTGTTGCACAGTACACTTTCGCTGTATATAAAAATGTGCTAGTGAAGCCATCGTTGCACTTTTTATTTTAATTAAAATGTTTATCTGTGGTCTCACCGTAGATAACCGCATTTGCGGGACCGTAGATAAACTTTTTTTTTTGCATTAATGTTTTTTATATATGCGTGAATTAGACGCGCATCGTTCAGGGCAGTGTGATTGCAGTTTTCTAGCCAAGAAGCTCAACCACCGAAGCCCTCTGGGGAATTTCTATAAATAAAAAGCAAAAACATTACACCTTTTATCATAAAAAGAGATCAGGGGTAATGTTGTAAAAAATAGCAAGATATTCTCATATTTATAGGCGGCAGGAGGGGAGAAGGAGAGAGGGAATAAAAAAGAGAGAGGATAAAAGGAAAGATAAAAGTGCAAATCAAGGACCGATGCCCACAGGAAGAGGGATAGCAATAGAGGAATACTGTGAATTGTGATCAGAAAGCAGCGTTTCGCCCGTCTCTGTGGCCGGCCTCTTCAGAGGACAGGAGTCAGGACTCTGTCTGTGCTCTGGGGCAGTCTGTGGAAGTCCTGACTCCCGTCCTCCGTAGGGGCCAGCCACAGAGACGGGCGAAACGTCAGGAAGAACAACCTTCAGAACACGGCCAAAGAGCCCGAAAAACCCACAACCACCATCAGATCCCGGCCGTGAAAGTTTTCTGAGACATCTTTGATGCCCAAAGCTTAGATGTAATGTCGATGCAAAGCATTGGCAATCATCTGAGTGGGAGATTTTCAGTCCATGGATCATGAGTTGGAGACGACAGATAAACTGAAAGCAATCATGCGCCCCGGGGCCTCTGACACGAGTGACGCAACCGGATCTCCCAGCAGACCCCCAGACTAGGAACCAGGCTCCTTCAAACCTAGACTAGGACCCCTTAAGCAAGCAAACAGACCCATCTCGTCTGTTTCTTTTATGGAGAACTGGACAGGGACCCGAGGGAAACTGAAACAGAATCTCTTGGATGGAGGAATGGTGCCCGGCATCACCTTCCGGGTCAAAATAATTCCAACGGTCACCAAGTTAATGCTGATTCATGGTGAGCTTCTGTCCCACCGTTTGCTAAACCTAAAGGATCCACTCGTGGTTTACCAACTCCTCCTTCTGGTGGTGCTTTGGAACGTCCTGTAGCTGCTTGCCTGTGGCCTCGCAAGGGTTGGGGGACATCACAAACGTCTGGTTAGCCTCCACTGCCCCCATCATGAGGAGCACCGAGGCCAACCCACTGAGCCACAGACCCTGTCCATCAGTGGTGGGATTCAGCAGGCCAACAAACGGTTCTACAGAACCAATAATACATTAGCTACCGGTTCTGTAGAACTGGTGCGAACCTGCTGAATCCCACCACTGCTGTCCATCCATCTCGTCCTCTGTCGCCAAAGGATTGGAGCCTCAGCTTCAGGATCTGTCCTTCCAGTGGTCACTCGGGGTTGATTTCCTTCAGAATGGACATTCCTGTCTCTCCATTAGAGTCCCCTTTTAATCTTTTAAATCAGGGTCGAGCAATAGTCCTTCCCACTTTGGGGAAATCTTCTAAGAGTCCCGCATGCTTTTCCATATTTGAATTCCTCCTCCTTTCCCCCTTCGGCTCTCGCTTCCTCCTCCCTTACCTCTCCCTGGGACAAACCGAAAACTCTCATTTTCTCTTGATCTTTTCTCTCCTCCTCCCACACAGGTAGAGTTAACTCTTCCTCTCCCTTTCCCCCTTTCCTTCCTCTACCAGACAGACTTCTGCCTTTACTTCTTTCTCCTTCAATTCCTTCCCACCAATTCCTTCTACAACCAATTTTCATTTTTCATTTTTCTCTCTCCCTCTTTCTCCGACGCTTTGATTCCAGCTGCTGGCTCACTGCTCACTTTTTTCTCTTTCTCTTTCCTCTTCACACCTGTATTTCTGACAGGGCCAGTTCTTTCTAAAAATTTACATAGAGGTCTCACCCAGTGACCTGAGGTCCTGAAAAATGAGGTTATTCCGCTGGTTGCGGAAATCCAGATTTGGCATCGTAGCTCTGGTGGAAAAAAACAAACATCCCCCCCACCAAAGCGGACAAAATTTTTCCTCGCTTTGGAGAAGCCTCGGACGAGACAGAGATCCTGCCAATGTCCTGCCCATCTCGTTATCAGGACAAAAGTCAATTAATGATTAATCAGAACGCTGGGGTGAAGGCGCATTCAGAAGGAGCAAGCTGACCCTATGGCACAGAGTGAGGGGGGCTGGGGGGGGGGGGGGTATGATTTGGGGGGAAGGGGGGTGTATCAGAGGGGGTCCGTCAGAAATATAATCTGAACTGGCGAAGCAGGAATCATGTGGTGGGATTTTCCTGGGCATTAGACGCAGACCCGAAATATGACATGTCTTGTGTACACAAAGGGTGTATTATGTCCTTCCACCGTCAAAGAGGGGAAGGGGCTCTTTGGATGGTCTTTCACCTGGGGAGGGACAACCCCCCCATGCTCTGTCCGTAGAGAAGCATGGGTTTTGTAGTTTGGATGCGCGAGTTAGACGCGCGTCGTTCCAGGGAGTGCGATTGCCGTTTTCTAGCCGAGAAGCTCAACAAGAGTTGTGGTCTTGCCATGCCTAGGATTTCTCTACCTTGGCAGAATTCTGGGGATAGTGGTTCAAAAGCACCAGTTCCACCTTATTTCCTCCCCCCAATGGCTTCCTGTCCCATCAGAGAGTCCGGGATGACCTTGGTCGTCTCACCTCATTTATCGGTAATGGACTCTTGCTCCTCCACGTTGACCATGTTGTTCCTCCTCCTCTAGAGATGCCGGCCTTTGGTTGTTGTGGTTTTTTTCAGGCTCTTTCTAGAGATGCCGGCCTTTGGTTGTTGTGGTTTTTTTCAGGCTCTTTGGCCGTGTTCTGAAGGTTGTTCTTCCTGATGTTTCGCCCGTCTCTGTGGCCTTGGGCATCTTTCAGAGGACAGGAGTCAGGACTCTGCCTGTGTTCTTCAGAGGACAGGAATCAGGACTCTGTCTGTGCTCTGGGGCAGTCTGTGGGAGCCCTGTCTCCTGTCCTCTGAAAACGCCGGCCACAGAGACGGGCGAAACGTTAGCAAGAAAACCCTCAAGAACACGGCCAAAGAGCCCGGGAAACCCACAACAACCGTCGGATCCCGGCCGTGAAAACCTTCGAGAATACATGCCAGCCTTTCTCACTATCCACTGGGGTTTAGAGAGGCTGCAGCTGGCAGGGGTCAAAATGCCAGGACACCCCCCCCCCAATACCTTTGCTGCTCCTAGACTTAGCTGCTGGGGGTCACAGTCATTAGAGGTGGGCATCCATTTACTCAGCAATATATATTCAAAATAGTCAGGGGCAGCTGGGTCTTCTGGTGGCCGTTAGGGTCCGTTCACTTCATAAAAGACCCACCGCTGGTAGAAGTCAACCTAAAACTGGTTTGTTGGTACAGCTCTACACACAGCGGCTGGCTTTTGGATTCTTTGCACAAGGCAGATAGGTATAACGATGGTGGGTGATGAACACCTGCATTTTTAATGTCCATAGACCGAGAAATACCTCTCCGAACGTACCTAGTACAGTGGTTAAGCTGCAGTGCTGCGGATAAGCCTCTCCTCATGGCCTGAGTTTGATCCCCAACGGGTTCAGGTAGCCAGCTTGAGGTTCACTCAGCCTTCCATCCTTCCGGGGTTGATAAATTGAGGACCCAGTTTGCTGTGGGGGGGCACGTGCTGCTGGCGTAATGATGTTTGAAACTGCCCAGAGAGAGTTTTAGCATGATGGGACAAGGTATAAGCTGAAACGTAACAACGGCAACCACTTTAGATCCTTGCTCGACAGGATTAGGCCCCTTCCCCTCCTTGCCTCTCGGTCGAAACCCTTTCTCGTCGTCCCCCCACATCTGTTTGGGTGGACCTGACCTCGAGCGGGCCGTTCTCTCTTCGCCTCAGCTATCTTTACAGGGCTGTTGTAAGGATAAAGGAGGGAGACGGAGAGCCACGTTCTCTTCCCCCCCCTGCCGGCCCTGGAAGAAAGACAGGAGACATCGAGGTGAGAAATATTTGAAAACCAAATTACAAGTTGCCTCCGTTTTGGACAGCTCCGGACTCCTCTGCCCGAAGGCAAATGCGGCAGTTTTGGAAGGAACACTCGAGGGGCTCCTCTTTGCAGGAGATGATGCTCGACTCGGGGGCGCAGCAGCTGTCTGAGGAAGACACGCCTGAGGTCCTCGCCCTCCTGCCTCCCCTGGAAGGACGGGATGTTCTCGAACTGGGAGCCGGCATAGGGTGAGTGGCAAACAGACAGAAGCAACCACCCCCCCCAAAAAAGACCTGCGTTTCACCCTCTGTTCTCTTGTGATGGTCTTTGGAATTTCTGGTAAAATTGTCTTCTTCTTTTGCTACACAGTAGAAGTACAGAGATCCGCACAGGAGAGTAGCTACACGTTTCTCAGAGTCCACGCCTTTCTCATTAACCGGCACTTAAAATCTCAGCAACTCACTCTGAGACATTTGTAGGAGAAAGGATAAAAAGTGTTTCTTCACTTACAGTTGTTTGAAATGGCAGACTTGGGTATACTGCTTTCTTTACTGCACACATACTTAGCAACCAACTGAAAAGATCAACAGCAACGAAACGACGGCTACCAACCCACGAAAGAGAGGGATAGATAGAACAGCAGAGAGGTAGGGCTTTCTCTGAATTTAAAAAAAAAAAAGCTGAAAGGAACCAGTTGGTTAGTGCTGGATAGATAGATAATCACCCCAACCCGGAAAAGTACCTCCAACTACAGACCGTGTGTGAGATTGTAAATAAAACTCTCAACAGCTAGTTGCTTTTATAAGAGGAGGAAAGCAGTCTTCAGATGCTCAGATACTCCGTAGAGAATTAAGCCATTTTGCATCTTGCACGGCTGTGGGGACGAGGAGCAGCCTTCCATGTTGAATTACCTGGTTTAGGTGGAAGGGATGCGTTCAGAGCTTGAAAAGCAACACATTACAAATAACAACCTCGCTGTATTTATTTCCCTGTCCTAATAACTAAGGTCTAACTACATTACCTTGTAGTAATAATAACTTAAGAAGGTGTAACGCAAGGGGTCCCCCCCAACCTTGGGGCCTCCAGATGTTCTTGGACTTCAACTCCCAGAAATCCTGGCCAGCAGAGGGGGTGGTGAAGGCTTCTGGGATTTGTAGTCCGAGAACATCTGGAGGCCCCAAGGTTTGGGGACCACTGCTCTAAAGGAACAAACAGGACTCTTATGATCCTTCCGATGGGCTTTTTAATCTCTCGCCACAGAGGAAAGGGCATTCACGGAACAGATGATGCGCTTTTTTAAAAAATGGAGATGCTTAAACATTGTTTTTAGCTTAATAGCATGCTAGCACTGGCGTTAATTAAAATGCATTTTCATTTCTTCTCTTTTTCCCCCCCCTTTCTTGCTCTACGCCAACTCACGTCTTAGCCAATTCTGGCAAAAGGAGGGGATAAGTAAAGTAAAAACAAACATTACGAGGAGTTATTCTCTTTTTAAAAAAAGTTATAAACATAACTCACTCCTTTATGGGCGCTTCGGATTAATCCCTGGAACGGATTGCTTTCCAGTTTGTGAATGCCCTTTGAGGCTTCTTCTTCCCCGTTTTTATTTCAGGCGGTTCACCGGACATCTGGCGGAGACGGCTCGCCATGTCACGGCGGTGGATTTCACGGAAAGCTTCCTGAATCGGAACCAGCTGGAAAACGGGCATCGGCCAAACGTGGCGTTTCAACAGGCCGACGTTACCAGCCTGGTCATGCCAAGCCAGAGGTGAAAAATAATTCAATTTACAGGAGGTGGGGGTGGGCAGAGTGACACCCCAACAGCTCCTGTTGGATTATAACAACTCCCAATATTCTTCCCCATTGGCTGTGGCTGATGGGACATGGAGTCCAACCCGTTTTACCCACCTCTGCTTTCAGTCCTTTAAGAAGATATTGACAGCTTCAGGCCAGGGCTGGGTGGAGGCGAGGGGGTCTCGGTGGGCTCAAAAATAACACCTCTTTTTAGCTTTAAAGGTCTTATAGACGATGATCACACAGCCTTTGGAAAGATATTTGAATCTTTCAGAACAGAGACGTTGAGAAACCGTAAAAGCTGTATTTGGCCCAAATGCTGGAG